GGTTGTACATAGATTTGTATCTATACAAGTGCATAGATTTGTACATATACATATGGTTTCGAAAAGATTTTCGTTAAATTCGATTCTCTCTTCCAATTGTTTGTCATTAATTTGATTCCGATTCAAGTCTTTGTCATTTTGCTACGGTGTTTGATATTTCTGTGTGTTGTGAATGACATCTCTTTACGTGACAAAACCAAGTCCACTTCGAAGGTAGTTGTGTATGTTTGATATTCGAACCGGTATCTACAAACAGTTGTATATTTTGCTGGCACGTGTTGATTCATTGCTAAAACGTCAGAAATGTTCTATGACTTGTTTTATAGCTACACTGCTAAATTTGATGCTGACTCGTGTGTGCAGTTATAGTCGCCAAAAAGTATCTTAAATCGCACTGTACCCTTGAAGGGTGTGTATCTCATAGTAAGACACTTGGTAGCCATGATTTTTAAGATATCTGCGTACATGCAAGTCAGATCACTTCGTATATGATACCGATCAAAGTACGCCATATCAAAATTTCTTGGGCTGTCTCGTACTTTATGCAGAACAATACGCCATAGGGCCACTTGTACTTATAGGCTTGATTCACCTACGATAACGTTATAAATGCGGAAGGATGTTGTGTGGTACCTTCATCCAGTCACGATCAGCTTTATTCATACTCACTGAGGTCAAGCAACCTATCAGGGTGACTTTTATATCTACCTTCTTATGATTACAGCAATGGACATCTAATATGCAGCGTCGATACTATTGTATATAAAATATACATTTGAACTCACTTGTGCAACTGTCACGTTCGCCACATACAGCAAAGGGCATAAAAGTACCTTCGCCAATACAGGAGCAAGCAATTCCATATCTCATGCAGAAGAGTACGCATCAAGAGAGGGGCGCCGTAATACAGTCAACGACGGGCACGGGGAAATCTCTGGCATTTTTACTACCAGCACTGTCGCATATTGATAGGACTCAGCTGAATACGCAGATATTAATAGTGACGCCTACTCGTGAGCTAAGTGTACAGGTATGTTGTAAAAGCTAACGCGTGGCCATTGACTTTGTGTCTCTATCCGTATCGGATCGAACACTATGGCCGGTTTTCTGTTTACATATACTGTTTACTATTTTATTTACATACACGAAGGCCACATAACCTGATTGTTCTGTATTTCCTTCCCACAGATATCGAAAGTCATCCTGCCCCTTCTCAAAGGAGGCAGTGCAAAGTATAAGACATGCCCGATCACCCTCTCACGGCTAACGGGAATAGTGGACAAGGATATGAAGGAATTTCTAAAGTGAGTAAGACAGTGTAATCTCTATGTAAGAATTATCTGCAGGTTCACTCTGCACATGCACAAGTGAGCATATCTACGGTTATAGACTTGTGTGTACGTACATTTATGTACATCCTGTGCATTAATATGTATGTAAAAAACTTTGGAGATCGTCATATGTATATAATCAACACAGTCAAAGGCGCAGGCCTTTAGACGAATTACCAAAAACAACGCGTACTAATGCGTGTGCGTAAAAATTATATTTCTGTAATGTCCATATACACACTTACCTATATATGCGTATCGGGCATGGGTTCAGCTTCCCTCATAGTATGGATGATGCGAATGTGACACTGCTCTAACCGTGGTTCGTGATGACTAATCCTTGCGAGATAGACTCTTCGAATCTAAAGTGACTTACCCGAGTTAGATTCCGACAGTTCCATGTTAGTTGCCGAACCGTTATCAGCACAGAACACATGTCCGTCTACCCGTCGAACAGTCAACATATCAGAATCCAAAGACTAGTGTATATCTATTTATCGTATGTACACACACGCACACACAGACACACACATTAA